GGAAAAATGTTATCCGAATAATATTTTCCATATAGGATAAATGTTATCCGGATAATATTTTCCATATAGGAAAAATGTTATCCGGATAATATGTTCCATATAGGACAAATGTTATCCTGGTAATATTTTCCATATAAGAAAAAAAATATTATCCGAATAATATTTTCCATAAAGGGAAAATGTTATCCGGATAATATTTTCCATATATTAAAAATGTTATCCGGATAATAGTTCCATGTAGGAAAAATGATATCCGGATAATATTTTCCATATAGGAAAAAATGTTATCCGGATAATATTTTCCATATACGAAAAAATGTTATCCGGATAATATTTTCCATATAGGAAAAAATGTTATCCGGATAATATTTTCCATATAGGAAAAATGTTATACGGATAATATTTTCCATATAGGAAAAATGTTATACGGATAATATTTCCCATATAGGAAAAATGTTATCCGGATAGTATTTTCCATATAGGAAAAATGTTATCCGGATAATATATTCCATATAGGAAAAATGTTATCCGAATAATATTTTCCATATAGGATAAATGTTATCCGGATAATATTTTCCATATAGGAGAAATGTTATCCGCATAATATTTTCTATATAGAAACAAATTTATACGTATATAGTTTTCCATATAAGAAAAAAATTATTTGGATAATATTTTCCATACAAGAAAAATGTTATCCGAATACTATTTTCTATATAATAATCTTATTTTTTGGACTCACAATCATTTATTTTAATTATTAATCGAAAAACTCCCCCTCCCTTTGATTTCAAGTATGGCATAAAATCTACTCCGGCGAATGTGAAGAAATTACAAACTATTCTCCAGAAACCCCATTACCATTACCTTCCTCTGCTGAAAATAATGCCGACGGTGAAGAGCAGCTAACCTCTGCCTTTGTAGTGCCACCCAATGTACGCTACCTCAACAGTTTGAATAATACCTATAATGGACCATATGTCGAGGGAAATTTCTATCATGGACCCGTACATAATTATTATGGAATTATATTGCCTCCATATGATCAATTACCCTTGCCCGGCGATGATGAACAGCTGGACGACAACGAAAATGTATCGGGTGAAATTGATGATTCATTGGGAGAACGAGAACATGTGGAAAGTTTAGAAGATGACGTAAACGATTCATCGAACGAATCTATTAAAATTGCCGGCAATGCATTCTCCTCCGTAATAGATGCTGTAAAATATATCGGGGTATTTGCAAAGGATTTATTGTCATATCTACAAGGACTTAAGAATAAATAAACGATAATAGATTAATTAAAGAAAATGATTATATATTGTAACTTTTGTATAGAATAAATAGAACGATTATAAATATTTATGTTGAACATATCAAACCACCAAGATTCGTAATTTTCAGAAATACTTTCGTATCGATATGAAATGTAATATACGGATAAAGTATTGAAAAATGGAGGTCGTAAAGTTTTTTAAAGAGTTCCGCCGCAATCACTAGCCGAATTGACTGCATATAGCGGGTAAAGAATATTGTCAATATAGGTAAACAAATTTACACAGTAACAAGTAAAAACGTGGTTATGTTCGGCCCGGCCGAACCTTTTGTAGCCACCATCATGTTGTGCACATTCAAAGAAATGTTTTAAGTTGCAGATTGTAAAACAAGGCTAGGAACTGTATCATATCATATTTATGTAAATGGTACACCATACTGTCAACGTTTGTCCGATTGAGACAAAATTTTGCATAGCGTATTAAAGTTACTACAGGTTGACATCCGTATTTAGATTACTGCAGGTTGACGTCCGCGAATATTTGTGGAAATCGGTAAAGATTTAAATATAGCTCCCATATATATTTTCGTCCGATTTTATGTAAATGAAACACCATACTGCCATTATTTGACCGACAAAAACAAATGAATTAGGTCTGGATTGATGTATGCGAAGTTTTGTTGGAATCGGTTCAGATATAGATATAGCTCCCATATAAAGTTTCGTCCGATTTTATGTAAATGGAGCATTCACATTCAATTTTTCATAATTTTCAGATTGTTATGTGTATATATAACGTCACGCAATTAATTTCGTCCGATTCCATTTTAATGGTTCTCCAAAAATGTTATGTCTATCAATAGCACATTGTACATATGAGTATCTTTTGTGGTGAGGGTTATCATATTGTCGGACCGGTCGACTTTTGAACTTTACTTACTGGTTTTCTTACTGTGGAAGGGCTTTCTTCTTCCTGAGGAAGATCTGCAGGTATTCATCTTTCTATAGGAGAGCTGCAAGTATTTTTCTTCCTATAGGGGAGCTGAAGGTATTTGTCTTCCTGTGGAAAAAACTGGATGTATTCTTTTTCCTGTGGAAGAGCTGCACGTATTCTTCTTCCTAAAGGAGAACTGCAAGTATTTTTTCCTGTGGAAGAGCTGCAGATATTCTTTTTCCTGTGTCAAAAATGTGCTGATTTGGGCCGATATGTAAATGCTCACTTTGTCATAAGGTGTACCACAAACGTGCAAAATTTATTGAACGTTACTAGTATCGGTGTTATTATCTGTATATCCATTCAAAAAATTAAAACGCTGTTATTTTTTCCTTGAAATTTATATTTTTGACGTATTTGGCAGAAGAAGCACTTATAAACAAGTGGTCGCCTATTTATTCGGCAAACCTGGTCCTGCAGCGACTGTTCTGCTTGGGATTGAAAAGGTGTACAATGAAATGGTACCAAAAATTCATTATTCGATTTTACTGAAGAAACTTACTTACTTAGCTGGCTTGTTACAGAACGGTTGTTCCATAAGCCGAGCTTAAAATTTCCAAGCGCGTCGGTCTTGTGCGCAATTCCACCAATTTGGAAGACCACGTTCCAAGATGTTTTTTTCTACTTGGTCCTTCCATCTAATTCATGCCCTTCCCCTTCTACGGGAACCATCAGTAGGCTCATTTTTATACGCCTTTCGCACAACATGGCCTAGCCACCGTAGTCGCTTCAACTCAATACGACTGACTATGTCGATGTCCGCGTATAAATTGTAAAGCTTGTGGTTCATTCGACGCCGATATTCACCGTCGACGCAGATCGGCCCGTAGATTTTTCGGAGAATTTATCTCTCAAACACCCCAAGAGCTGCCTCATCTGCTTGTGCAAGTACCCATGCTTCTGATCCATATAATAGCACGGGTAGTATCAGCGTCTTGTAAAGTGTGAGTTTGGTCTAGCGGGAAGTGGCCTTGTTTCTAAACTGCTTACTTAGACTATAGTAGCATCTGTTGGCCATCACAATCCTTCTCCGAATTTCAAAACTGATGTCATTCGTTTTATTTATGGCGGTACCAAGGTATATAAAGTCTTTAACTACCTCGAAGCTGTAGTTCTCAAGTTCCACAGTTGGTCCGAGTCTACTGGACGTCTTGCGCGTTGATACCATCAGCTTGGTCTTCTCGCCGTTTACTGCCAGACCCAATTTGGCAGACTCCTTTTCAATTTGGTCAAAGGTGGCTGTAAACGCTCGCAATGTTTGACCCATTATATCGATGTCATCGGCGTAGGCGAGTAACATGTGTTGTTTGGTGTACAGAGTGCCATTTCTGTTCAACAGCAGGATGTTAAAAAGATCACACGACAAACTGTCACCATGTCTGAATCCTCGTTTGGTATTGAAGGGCTCTGATAGGCCCTTTCCTACTTTAACTGCTGACCTTGTGTCACTTAAAGTTATTCTGCATAGCCGTATTAATTTTGCAGGAATGCCGAACGCAGACATGGCTTTAAACACCTCTGAACGGATAGGGCTGTCGAATGCGGCTTTATAGTCGACAAATAGGTTGTATGTGTCGATGTGTTTCTCGTGGGTCTTTTCCAGGATCCAGAGTGAAAATCTGGCCAATGGTGGATTTGCCAGGTCTGAAGCCGCATTGGTATAACACTTTATATGCGATGGGAAGGAGACTTATTCCTCTATAGTTGGCAAATATCATCTTGCCAAATTGTGGTAATCAACTGAGGCATGCTCCTGACCAGCATCTGGCCACCAGTATTGAATAGTTCGGCTGGTAACCCATCGGCTCCTGCTGCTTTGTTGTTCTTGAGCCGATTAATTGTTTTTATGACCTCATCTTGGCTAGGTGGTATACACTCTATACCATGATCTCTTATTGGTTCTGGGGTATCTTCTTCATCGGACTAAATTAAATATGTTATGTGTGTCTATATATGAACCGATTTAACCCTACGATCCATAACCGAGTACATTTGTGCCTTTTTATACCCTCCACTAAAATTTGTGCTAATCGGTCTAAATTTGCCTCTTTGGTGCATCATTTGCTAAAAATCGGACGAAAATATATATGCGAGCTATATCTAAATCTGAACCGATTTTCAGGGATTTCAAAACGGTTCGTCCTTGGAGCAATTAAATTATCTATACCAAATTTCGTATCATTTGGATAAAAAATGCGACCTGCACTTTGTTTACAATTTAACATGGACAGATAGACGGACGGACATATATTTATGTAGCTGGTAGCCCTCGTAAACGATTTTTAGAAGGACATTTATATATGAATCCATATATAAATCAAGGTTTTCTGTCTATTGAATACCTATGTGTCTATTTAGGAATCACTAAAACGTCTTCTATCTATCGAAACCTATTTAAGGTATTCTGTCTCTAGAACACCATTAAAAGATATTTTTCTGTATAATACCACTTATTCTGTCTTTAGAAGAGCGTCTGAAAATAGTTACTGATGGACGACCTGATAAAGGACATTTGTATACATAGTAGCTATATAAAGTCTGCTTTCCAGAGATATTTGTTCTATCGATGAAATACCGGTATATATAAATTGTAGAAGGTCTTCTGTATACTAAATATTCATTTTCCTGCAGGACATATTCCGTATAGAAAAAAATAATCGGTTTATAGTTTTTTTCTATCTTTATTCTTAATTTTATTGGTAAAAAATCAACTTAAAAACAATTTTCCTAAAAGTTCTCCAAGAAATCCATTAGTTCCGAATGTAATGCGGCTTCCAGTGGTTTAACATAATCCGGATAGGATACAGTATTGGGATCATAATATGAAATTGTGTAGGAATTATCGTGAGCGTTATTTTTGTTAGGCTGAAGTTGAGGAGAATTTCCATTTTGAGGGTAATAATTCGCAGACGTCAGTACAGACCCGTAGCCTCTTGGATCATGGGTATGGTAATGAGAATTCCATTTATAGGGCTTGGCAATTTCTTCATGCCACGGTAGTGATGTTTCTCCAAACGACTGTGAAACTGTATATTCGGTAGTAGTTGACTGTAGTTTAGGTTCCGTTTGTCCGCCCGGTTTTATGAAACCCAAAGTTGTTAGGACTTGTCGTATTTGTGGCCATAGTTGTGTGGTATCATTCTCCTCCTCATATACAGGGTTTTGAACATTTTCAGGCGCTTTGTAACGATTATTTTCGGGAGTGTCATATCTTGGAGTTTCATATGCCGGATAAGCTTTTAGTTGCTGTCTACTTTGTGGTGCAGGGGAATCATGATTGTGGATACATTGAGGCGTTCCGTATTGGTTCGTTCTTGGAGTTTCATAAACCAAATAAAGTCTCTGAGGTAGTCTATTTCCTGGTTTTTGGTCATTCAAATTTCCTGAGTTCAGAGCATTTTCAGGTGTTCTATAATGATTAGATTCCGAAGGTTCATAGGCCGAATTAGTTGTCAGTGGCTGTCTACTTGGTGACGGAGTATCCTCGTCGACCTTAACATTTTCAGGGTTCTGGGAAGAATCTGGGGCTTTGTAATGATTAGTTTCCGGAGTGTCGTATCTTGGTGTTTCATATTCTTGTGAAGTTTTCAGTTGCTGTCTGTCTTGTGATACTTGATCGCCTTCGTTGGCTTTTACAGAGGTCTGGACATTTCCGACCGTTCTGTTATGAGTGTTTTCTGGAGTTTCATATGCCGAATAAGCTGTCAGTGGATGATGGGCAGATTGTGGGGCTTTGTAATGATTAGTTTCTGGTGTCACATATTTTGGAGTTTCATATTCCTGTGAAGTTTCCTGTGGTACTGGATAATCGTCGCTCACATTTACAGATCCCTGGACATTTTCGGGCGTTCTGTTAAGATTGTTTTCTGTAGTTGTATCGGTCGAATTAGCTGTCACTGGGTGTCCACTTTGTGACCTTGGTGTATCGGCATCGTTGTTAATATTTTCAGGATTGTGGACAGATTCTGGGGCTCTGTAAGGATTAGTTTCAGGAGTGTCATATTCCGGATAAGGTTGTGGGGAAGTTGTTTCAAGAGAGCATGTTTCTGGTTCCTCCTTGTAGGATGTCTGTCTATTTTGTGATTTATTCTCTAATGCAGAATAACGTTTAGTCTTTGAAGTTCTACGACGTGGCCATTTAGTTTTATATAACTTGGAAATTTGCTTCAGGAATTCTGGGGGTAGAGGAATTTGTCCTTTGTTGGAGAGTATATCTTCCAAATTTGTAGCATAAAAGTGTTCAGCAATGTGACCCGTTTGTGAGGTAGTAGGAAGATAATTTGAAAGTTTCGGATTAAAGGAAGATTTACTCTGACTCGCTGATAAATTTGGGGAGTACCCGTGTGCGGAGTTTGTCTGGTTCAGTGACGGGTTTAAAGGTTCATTTAGTCGATGTGCTGTGGTTGGACCACATTTGGTAGTGGACTTTGAACTTGATTGGGATTCTTTTGATTCTGTCAAGCTATCTGAAATTCAATTGGAAAGGTTTGATTTTTTTAAATAGAAACATATTCAATTCACAGTACCTTTATTTGTATTGAGGTTTTCCTTATTAGTATCTGTTCCCCTATTCTTTTCACTTTTCCTTAAAGTCGATACATATTTTAAAATTACTTTAGCTGATGCAACCGATAACATATTTTGAGTGTCATCCAGTATTGCATCAATTTGGGCCTGATAAGGAGGTGTCGTAATAGTTTCAGTGTCATACGTGAGGAATTCGGAACATACGCCGGGATAAGCTTTTGACCAATCTAAAGAAATGTGAAAATAAATTAGTGCATCAGTTTACAAAATAAATATTCGTTAGAGGCTCTATGGAAAGGTAAAAACAACTTAAGAAAAAAATCTCTATAGATAGGCCATGTACGACTGTCTTCTAGAGGTCGCAAGTAATAAAATCCGATCGATGTAGTCTAGAAAAAATAAAAAACCTACTTACCCTTCCCACTTAGTTGTCGATCTGATTCCATTGAACATTGATTTAAAAATGTTTGATATCCATATTTCGGACTAACTGCACAAATCGGTGCATATTCATTACATTCGGTGGTCGGAGGACAAGGGCCAGACTGCAGCAATTTCCATGCTATAAAATGAAATAAAAATTAATTATTTATATTCAAAAATAAAAATAGGATTCGTTCCTTACCCTTGCCACTATTTTCATATTCTTCACTGAATTCCAAAAGATTTGAGAATGTTTTGGTCAGATCAAACAGTGAACCACACACTGGACTAGGATCAAAGAATTTATCTTGGCCCCTTGTGCTAATTACAAATTGTACAATAATTACGAGTATAAAGCAAATATTGAAATTTTGCATTTTCTCTTAGTTCCAGCTTCGTTGTAATAATGTTACCCTTAGTAAGTCGAGTTGTTGTATTTATAATTTGAGCTCTTCTTTTTGTTCGTGTGGTCAAATGCAAGAAGTGTTATCGTGCTATTCTGTAAACATGTTCTTTGAACAAAAAAAAAAAAAAAATAATAATAATAATAATGGTATGACGAACAAGTTCTTTCCCTTCTGTAGCGAATCCGGTGATAACGCCAGAGTAGTATCTTCTGTTTGAAGAGTTACAGCTTGCGAACTTACAATTTATTACACACACGGCAAGGTTTCGTTACAATTTTTAGAACTTAAATATATCTTTCTATATGTCACTTTCTTAAGACTTCCATACTTCACTGTATATTATAAAAGAAAATATTTCCTAAATGGGTGCATCGCATTTTTAGATATTTTCTAAGGAGGTTTACTCTGTAGACATTTCAATGATTTTGTAGCAGCCACATGATTATTTTATTATTTTTATTAATTATTATGCATTAAATGCAAAAGTTTGATTTATATTATAATTTTTATTATGTTATTGTGTAACTATTATTGACACTTGCTGTAATAATTATTTACTCTTCGCTTGTGACAATTTATCACTCAGAACATTTTATTATCACTCAAAAGAGTTTTCGTTTAACTGTTTGATCAATACTCACTCATTTAAATAATCCTACTCTCTTTTTCTAATTATTGTTCATCACTCATTTTTAACTATATAAATCAGAACAATGTTTAATTTAAGATCATTCCTGTTTAACTGTTGACGAATAAACATCATTCCCAAAACTAAGCGGAGTGTTTCTTTTTATTCTACCCCTCAGTTAATAGATTTTGGAAAATAATCCAGCTTAGACGTTCATCGTCCGGTTGGGATTTTTTTCAATAAATATAATTTATTATATTATAAGAAAGATTATGATCCAGCTTTTACGTTAATCGTTTGGCCTGGGATCTAATCCAAAATATAATATAATTAATTATTTTTATTACTGAGAAGGGACTAAGGATACCCCCCTTCTACACTGGCGCCCAACGAAATTAAAAAAAAAAGCTGAAAATTTTCTAAAAAATATATAAATTTTGCTTTACATTAAAAAAACAAAAAGCATAACACGTGGGTGATTTAATCAAATATTGTGGCTAGACCAAAGCCTACCATAGCACTGTTTCGCTGCAATCGCATTCGGAGAAACCAACATTGTCGCTGTCACAGCATCATCAGTGCAGTTTGCTAAAAATCATCTCGCGGAGTTCTCAAAATTGCAGTCGTCATCGCTGCTGTCATCACTGTTTGTTGTTGCTTATCGCCTTATCGACACGTGTCTCACTTTTATTGTTGTGTTGTTGTTGGCATTGCATTCACATTACTACAGCAGTTGGTGTTGTTGTTAATCATCACTCAACTGTTTCAATTCATCGTCGTCATTGATCTCTCTAATATACTGTGCTATATTGGTTGTCACCTTTTGTCGTTGTTGTTGTTCAGCTCTCATATAATTGCTTGTCGCTCATCATCGTCTCCGTTTTCAACGAGAAACATTTCTGTTGTTAGCTCTGTTATCACAGAAGCAAGAGATTGGTTGTTGCTGTTACTAATAAATAGAGCTGATCACCGTTGAGTGGAATCACGTAAACTCTTTTAAGAGAAAATTTTATTGTAATCCATAGCTGATTCCCACACTCTTGAGTGAAGAGCAGGGTTACCCAATATTAAAATTAAGAATTTTTTGGGTATTTTAAAAATGATTAGAAGGAGTCCAAGAATTAACCCTTCGGTTGCTGAAAGCAACAATAATGCGCCGTTAGAGCAGACCGTTACCACACCTCGTTCGACACATTAAATTGAAATATGCAATTTAAATAACGGTACCAATGGAACAACTTCATCAAATAATCGCACACCATCGTTTGCCTCTGTATCATCGCAAGTACAGTCACAGGGTTTACCAAGAAATACCACTAGCAGCAACAGTGTTATGTCATCTAATGATTCCTCAGCAAATGCGTTCTCACAGGTCCAACAAAACATTGTATTGACGGATGTCCAATTTCAACAAATTTTAAGTGGCATATCAATTAACCAAGAGAAGAAAACGACATTTACTGGTTGCACTGCACGATTCTCTGGTGGTCGAAACTCAACAAAAGTCGAGGATTTTATTGCAACAATCGAGGTCTATAAAGAAGCCGAAAATATATCTGAGTCTAGTGCTCTTAATAGTTTTCCCTTATTGCTAGAAGGTTACGCCTCGACATGGTGGCAAGGAGTTCAGGACGAAGCACGTTCATTTAAAGATGCAATAGAACTTCTTCGTAATGCATTTGCACCCGTAAAGCCAGATTGGAGGATATTCAATGATATTTGTCAAGAAAAGCAAAAGACATTTGAAACAACAGATGCTTTTGTATGTAGAAAAAGGAGATTATTTGCTCAGTTATCCGAGAAGCTGTCTGAAAAAACTATGATAGATATGTTATTTGGTCAGTTAAATTATCAAATAAGAGGTGCTATATCTCGTACTAGCATTAAAACGTTCCAAGAACTTTTACAACAAGCTAGAGAAATTGAAATGAACATTTCAGAAAATAGGCAGGAGAACAAGGATGAAAAATCAAAACCACCGCAATCCAATGAAAAGTCCTTCTTACGATGCACGTACTGTAGAAAGAAAAATCATCTAGCAGAAAACTGTTTCAAAAAGATTGAGGCTGAAAAGCATAAAAAAGTTAAGACCAACGAGTCAAAATTAAATTGCTATGGATGTGGTATGGAAGGTTACTATCGTTCCAATTGCCCGAATTGCAACATGAAAAATGAACAGGAAAAGCCATTGGATTTTAATTCCCTACACACAACAATGGTTGGAAGTGATGTTCCTTTAGTGGATATTAATGTTTATGCGTTAAAAGGAGAAGCTTATTTTGACACTGCTGCCAGGACAAGTGTTGCAGGATTTCAATTATACCAAAAATTGCTCATGAGAGGAAATCAGTTTCAAAAAGTCAGAGCAGAAGTAATTTTAGCTGATGGTGTTCCACGATATGAACATGTTTTTTCTACTGTTGCAGATATAATTATTGGAAAGCGATTTAAAAAGATTCAATTTATATGTTTTCCTAATGCAACAAATAATAGGACTTTGCTCGGAATAGACTTCCTTAAGGAATGTGGAATTGTCTTGGACTTAGCTCAACATACATGGTATTTTAAGGACGATCCAAAGCAAATATTCCCATTTAAATCCAATCCCTCAAAATTAAGTATATCAATGGTTGAAAAGGTAAACGTAAGACCGAGCGAATTGAATGCATTTTTGGCTAATTTTGAAAAAGGAAATAATGACTATTCCCCAAAATCCATTAACAAAATTTTTGAAAATTTGGTTCCTGAATGCATGGAGACTAAAAATAATGATGGGTTATTTCCACCTTTAAAAAGGACAAAATATGAGCACTATTGCGACGAAATGTTTGCGTCGCTCGAATTGAATTCGGTGGATATAAAACTTCGTGATTATGAAGGTCCACATTTAAATCATAATGAAAGGGAAGTTTTGAATTGTTTATTAATGTCTGAAAAAGACATCTTCAATGATATAAACGAACCCTTAACGCAAGTAGAACATTATATAAATACAGGAGAACGGGAACCAATATCAAATCCGCCGTATAGGATTTCTCCCCGTATGAAGGTGTTGTTAAAAAGTGAATTGGACAAAATGCTGAAAAATGGAATAATCGAAGAAACTGAATCCCCGTGGTCATTCCCAGTGGTATTGATTCCCAAAAAGGATGGAACTGTTAGATTTTGTGTCGATTATCGCCGTCTAAATGCGATCACTGTTACGGATACATATCCACTGCCGAGAATCGACGATCTGTTGCATGCCGCAAAAACTACTCCATTTATGACAACTTTGGATCTTCGTTCTGGCTATTGGCAAATAAAAGTAGCAGAAAAAGATAAAATGAAAACGGCTTTCACTTCCCCATTTGGCATCTTTGTTTTCAATCGAATGCCGTTTGGTTTGAAAAATGCACCAGCGACATTTCAACGTCTCATCGACAAATTTAAAAATGGATTGCCGAATATATTGATATTAGCATATTTGGATGACATAATTATATGTTCTGAAGATTTTATGACTCATATATCCGATTTAAAACAAACGCTTCAGCGACTGAAATCATTTGGGCTATACCTTAATCGAGAAAAATGTTTCTTTTGTAAACCAGAAGTAAAATACCTGGGCCATATCTTAACAAGGAATGGACTTAAAGTTGATACTGAGAAAACCGATGCAATAATGAAGCGTAGGAATCCCAGAAACTGCAAAGAGGTCCTATCATTTATGCAAACCTGTTCGTGGTATCGGAGATTTATTCCCTCTTTTGCAAATATAGCCAAACCATTGTCAGATTTGACTAAAAAGAATGCAGCATGGCATTGGGGTGAAAAACAACAAAATGCCTTTGATATGTTGAAGAAATTGTTAACCTCCCCACCAATTTTGCAACAAGTTGATGAAAATATGCCTTTTATTTTAAAAACCGATGCAAGCAATTATGCTTTAGGGGCTGTTTTGATCCAGGGGGAGAAGGAGTTTGAAAGAACTATTGAATATGCCAGTCGTTTATTGCTTCCTGCAGAGAAAAACTACTCAACGACCGAAAGAGAAGCTTTAGCTATAGTTTGGGCCGTGGACAAGTTCAGAGGATATATTGAAGGTTCCGAAGTGTTGGTTAAAACCGATCATCAACCATTGAAGTGGCTGTTTAGCCTTAAAAGCCCCACTGGTCGTTTAGCAAGATGGGCATTGTTATTACAATCATTCAATATTAAAATAGAGTATACGCCAGGTCGACAAAATCATGTTGCCGATACACTTTCACGTCCTCCGTGTAGTCATCATACTACTAGTGACGTCAAATGTGAGTGTTTCTCTGTTCATATTGATTTCCCAAGAAAAGGAGCTGAGGAATTC